TGTTCTGTACAAAAAACATGCATAGACCCAAAAATAAAAAAAAAGACATTCCCTTCCTAAAGATGAAAGGTATAACTTTCAACAAAGATGAAGACTGAGAACAAGATTGAGAGTGGGTCAAATACCCTTCATGTGAGGTCAATTTCGTCTTCAATATTTGTTAAGCGAATCTGAGTTCGTGAAAAAAAAGGGAAATATAAGAATCATGTTGCAGGAATGACACTGTTCATTCCTGCAACAAGGATCTGGCAACGTATCTTGAGGATATGGCGCCGTATCCTGATTTTGGTTTGACTTTTTTTTTAAGCGTGCTACAGGGTTTGGGGCTGTTACATTTGGTATCAGAGCCTGGCCCTGGACCGGTGTGTATAGCGGGGACGCTATATTCCCAGTGGGGGAGGATGTAATGTCCCACATCGGTTGGAGAGGAGAACGAAGCATGTCTTATATAAGGGTGTCGATACCTTTCCTTGTAGGAGGCCTTTTGGAGGTATCCCGAAACGTAAAACCGTGAGCTCGACAGTGCTTGTGTGCGGGGCAAAGCGGACAATATCCTGCTACAAAGTTTGGGACTGTTTCATTTGATTTGTGTGTGCAGGAAAATAGTCTTGTCATGTGACATGACAAAAAGCGAACCAAAAAAAAAACCACCTGAGAGAGAGGTATATATATATATTTTTTGATAACAGAGAGAGGTATATTTTTTAGTCATGCTTAGTTGAAATTAGTTTGATGGGCAAATACCCCCTTAAGGAAAAGTACCAATTTCTAAAAGGCTGGTACCAAACAGGAAAAGTACCAATTTTTTTTTTTTTTTATATACGTGGTACCAATTTTTTTTATATTCGTAATATATTGAACTTTTTATTTAATATTTACAATTTGAAGTGATTAAAAAAACGTAGAGAGCTTGTTAAGAGTATATAACAGTATTCAATTTCAATGAATAATTTTATATTCTACCCATAAATTTTTTATTATTCTTAACTATTAAAAGAAAGTGATACTTTATAAGTTTTTTTTACTTTAAGTAATTATAAAGATATAAGAATTGATTGTTGAATTTTTCTCTTTTGCAAAAAGTCCTTTGAGTTTAGTTTATGAGAATAGCCCAAGAAAGTCTAGGGTTAAGGTTTTTTGGTACCCGTATAAATATCTCATTGTTGGTCTTGAGCCGCACAAGTCCTATCTGAAAGTGAATTTTTTTGGTACCCTCAAGGGGGCATTTAGTTGAGGAGAAATTTTTTGAATATTAGGAAAATGTAATCACTAGAGAAATGGTTAGAAAGTGAGTTTGGTAGGAAAATGTAAAAAAAGTTGTTTGGTTGACCGAAATATTATCAGAGAAATTTATTTAAATTTGCAAAATCTATGTTCGGGAGAAACTTCGCACCTGTTTTTTCACTTCTCCAGTTATCTCAAAATACCACATCTCAAGTAGTATTCTGTAGCAGTCAATTTCATCCAAAAATCAACACAAAAGTCATTTCCCTATCTATCCTATTTGCCTAGTATTTTTTTCAAAAACCTGAACCAAACGTGGTATTTTCCAATATCCACTTACACTTTCCCATCAATCCCAAAATAAATCTTCTACCAAACACTACCTAAGTGTCCACAAACTCCTCCCCCTTCCCTTGCTTGAGAATAGCCTGGAAAATTCTTCCATCAAGTAGTCGCTTTCTAAAAGGAGATTCTGCGGCTGTCATTCTCTACGAGGAGACATAGAGGCAAGGAATCATATCATCGAACAAGAGATATTTTGTGCGTCTAAACTACAAGAGGTATACTATTTTGTGTGATAAAGAAACTGTTATGTACTCATATATGATGCCCATATATATATTGATAAGTCCAATAAGGGACAATCCAAATATAAATCAATTACAATTAATGAAAGTGTTATGGACCAGAGAAAGGCCCACAGCAACAAGAAGCCCAACCAACATCAGCCCAGAGGTAAGCTCTATAAATATGACTAAAGACCACATGTATGACTGATCTCTCTAACCCTATTTCATTTAAGACACGACAGTGCACACACACACCCCTTCTGGCTAAAGCCATCATATAGTGTGTAGTGATCAGCTATCCCCAAGATACCTAGTTCATAGGTATCTAGAGAGGAAGTCCTAGATCCAACATCAAAGACCCGACCTTCTGTCAGACTTATCTGCCTCAGGCAGAACAGAAAGGTATCAATCAAAGATATCAATCCTAATACGACATCATATATAATATATAGGCCTGGACCATTTACAATAGCACTGAAGGTCCAGCACTCAATGCCCACAGGTAAACTCTATAAATAAGAGGTAAAACCTACAGGTATGCACGCTCTCTCTCTTACTGTTATGCTATCACTATGGACAGACACACACCCCTTTGGCAAAACCGTTTATTGTTCTTCTGTGCACAGTGATCTGCTTGACTCGAGGGTATCTAATTCATAGATACCTTATAGAAGGCACCTAGATCCAAAAGCAACATACTAACTCTATTGGTTTAGACATCTCTATCTCTATAATAGAACATTGGCGCCGTCTGTGGAAAATTCGATAAATTCGTTATTCCCACGATCATGATCAACAATGGTGGTTACTACAAGAAGTAGTAGCCAATAGCCACAACATCCAAACCTTCCATTGGATCCTGTATTGGATGAAGTAAATCAGCCTCAAAATCGACAAGAGAACGAGATTGATTATGATGCAATCCAGGTAAGTGATGACGTCTCGGACACTGTCTCAACCTATGTAGCACCGATACCGACACGCGACACGTGACATGACACGATACGACACTCCGACACGTTAATTCTAAAAAATGTTAGATTTTGACACGTTAGGACACGTTTTGATATTAAATAATATTTTTAATTAATGTAGTGTATATTATATTTAATATTCAATAATTTAAGAAAAAATGAAGTTAAACTTATAATACCCATCAATTTTGCAAATAAACATAAGATATCCTAAATATTTCTATTAAACTCAATAAAATAGTAATCGTATTTTAACGAATCTAATAGTTTGAACTAAAAACGCAACGCAACGCAACCTTTGAACCATTTTTTGAGTTTTTACAACGCGTGTTGGAGTGTCGGAGAGTGTCGGAGTGTCGGAGAGTGTCGAGAAGTGTCGGACACGACACGTCAGGATTTTTGAAGTGTCGGTGTTTCATAGGTCTCAACACCATTTGATTACTTGTGAAATCACCTTTGGAATTGTCTAACTTAGATAAAAATAATAAAACTATATTGCTTGTAATTAATCCTCGTGGGAACGATAGTTAACTCATCATTTTATTACTTGTACAATTAGTATACTTGTCGCGTTCACAACATACAACACAACAACTTGCAGACTCCTTCACTAAGGCGCTCCATCTTGCTATCTTCCATGATTTTATGTCCAATTGGGTTTTCATGATATACACGATCCGACTTTTTTTCGTGATAGTAGCTTTTCTGTTATTCAGTTTACAGGTTAGGTTTTAGTTAGTTGTCGTTTTCTTATGACACGTATATGTCTGTTTCTCTTCTCTTTGTATGGTGCACAATCAATGAAAATTCTTGTTCCAATTCCATATTGTAAGAGTTTCAGTAAAGTAACATGAACATGAAAGGTACAACTTGTCGTTAAGGCATTTTCGTCAAGGAGGTGCACATTATCTAGCTGAGATGTCTAGAGAGCATACATTGGTAGAAACACCAATTACACGGCGCCACAGTTCCGACTGGGATGAAAGTAGAGTTTACTCGATTCTCAATATATTCAAAAAAATATTAAATATTTGTTTTTATTTAATACATATTATTTAAATAATTAAATAATTTACCGTAATTTATTCAGAGATATGACATTAATATTTTGATATCAGAAGAAACAAACGAAATGGATCATTGTTTATACTCAAAACCAGAAAAAAAAACTTTTTCATTTAATCAAAAGTTGACGTAAACAATTATTTCAACCAAAAGTTTACATTATTGGATGAAGTTAAATCAATGATTTTATATTTCTTTAATAAGTTTCCTCACATGAGTTTCCACTAACTTAAAGGGTGAATGTTATATTAGGTCCAGCTAAGAAACTCTATATATTTTTTAAAAATAAAATAAAAGTTATGCATTCAACTTATTTTTACAATTTTTTCCCAGTAAAGAGGGAAAAAAATAATGTAATCCCTCAATACAATATTGTCTTTATACGTAGATAATCTCAAATTGACTGATACTTTTCCAAACTGAGCTTTCTTCTAGAAATTGTTGAAATTAAGGGCTAAATTTTATAGTTTCCACAAAGAGCCGAAAGACAAAGCTACGCGGTATCTTATGCTTGGCTGCCATTTTAGATAAAACAAAGAATTATTATAGATAAAATTTGTAAAGTAATTCTTCTGAAATAATTAAAAAGACTATATCAAAGATACTATGAAGTTACCAGAAAAAAAAGGTGTTAGTTTTGAGTTATCCTATGTCTTTTTAACTAATTCTCTTAAATCTTTATAATTACTTAAAATAAAAAAATGTAAAGTATTTAAATATTTTTTAAATAGTCAAGATTAATCAAAAACTTATGTGTAGGATATAAAGTTATTCTGTAAACTATTAATTTATATCTACTTAATCAGATTCTTTTATAATAGGGTGCGAAAATAAATTTTTAAAATTATAAGTATTATTAAGATTAATAGAAAATACTAATTATTATAAAAAAAATTTGAGGGAGGAACTAACTATTAATACTAATAATTTATTAATTATTAAAAAATATTATTTTACAAAATTAAAAAAAATGAAATCTCTAAGTTTTTTTAATGACTTCAAATTGCAAACATTAAATAAAAAGTTTAATATAATACGAATATAAAAAATATCAGTCCTTTGTCCTAATAGAATTATTTCCTTGTATATTAGTAATCTTATTCACGCCGAATATGAAGATACTAAAAACAAAAACACAAAACACAAAAATAAAATAAAATATCAAAAGGATAACTTAGATAATAGCACAGCACCTCATAGTTTTTGCCACCCAAATTCTGTAAGAACTGCTAGCTCTGATTTCTGAAAAGTATAGCACTTTGCTTCCTTTGGTTTCATCATCTTCCCTATTTTCTTTCACTTACCAATTACAGACACAAAAATGGAAGCAGCATGGGCCACAAGTGCAGGCATAATTTTCACAGTAATAGTTGCTATGATATGGGCATGGAGGGTGCTGAACTGGTTGTGGCTGAAGCCGAAGAGGCTTGAGAGGCTTCTAAGAGAACAAGGCCTTCAGGGCAATCCATACAAGATTATGGTTGGGGACTTAAAGGATATTATGAAGATGCAAAAGGAAGCAAGGTCCAAACCCATGAATCTCTCTGAAGATATAGTGCCCCGTGTGTTTCCTTTTGTCCAAAAAAATGTCAACAAACAAGGTATTCATATGCTTCCCACTCTTCTTATTTGCAATTGTCGTCTATTTGCCTCTTTCTTTACATTTTTTGTTATTGTATACTTAGGGAGCATTTAGTAGAGGAGAAAATTTTTTTTTATCCGAAAATCTCGATTTTTAGAAATATAATTTTTACGTTCAGTTTACGATAATATTCAAAAATTAAAAATTTAAAAAAATTCAGTTTCCCGTAAATTCTGAAAAATATCGCATACAAAACTTACTCTATTTTCCTTTTTCCTTTTTCCTTACGCTTGCTGACTTAATGACTTTGATAATCCATGTTCCATCACTTTTTTTTTGTACCCACAAAATAGTGACTCTCTTTTGCGAGTGCTTTTTCGGTACTACAGTAACATCTTTTCCAAACATGGATAAAAAATTAGGACTTAAAAAGGGAAATAGAAAAAAAGATATACTAGTACCCAAAAAAAAAAAAATTCCCTCTTTTGCAGTATCTTACTCCGTGTGCTATTATTTTTGTTTAGTCTATGCATATGTGAATATATGATAAAAAATTTTACAAAATCATACATGGTGTGCAGCTATACTTGTTTTAAAATAAAATACAAAACTAAAAAACTCAGAATATTAGAATAACGAATATTTTTTCTATCATAGATCATATACACTTAACACTAAATGACAGAGAGACCAAAAATAAATACTAATCAAAATGACTAATTATACCGCCGATAACTGACTCATTATGTCATCAATAAAAGATTCTTTAGTGCACCATCATGTTTATTACTTCACGATTAAAGACTACACAACTACTGAACTTTCAAATAACACAAGAAAATGAAAAGTCTTCAACTTCCCTCACTTAAATTGGTGTTTGTAACATCCAGTTTATTCCACATCCTTTTACATTCTCCATGGAACATATGCAAAGTAATCCACTGGGCTTGTGAAAAGAATCTCTCAAGTTTGAGAGGCTTAATGAACAAATCAGCAACTTATCTTTACTTCTGCAAAAAGCAAGGCCAGTTACACGTCCTTTATAAGATCCCTCAAGAAATGATACTTCCCATCTACATGCTGATAGGCCCAAGCACAGGAGGTTAGCTGGAGCACCTTCCTGGGCCAAGGACTTCATCAGTAGTTAGTGGGCTGGAGTATCCTGTTGAGCCCAAGCTGTAGTTAGTTAGCTGGGTAGGGAAGTGGGACAGATTATGTGGCTTACATTTAGTTTGTTATTAGGTTGATGTGGCAATGATCCACTGATATAAAGGCAACTATTGCATGAAATAGAAATAATCAGAATATATGAAAATTACTCTTGTTTTCTTTTCCCTATTTCTTCCTTGTTCCTTCTTGTTCTTCGATTGATCCACAAGGTTAGGGTTCGCGTCCCTTTCATTGGTGCTTTCATCGATTCTCAAGCATTCCATAATGCAGGTTCAAGATTTGGCGGAGGAGGTTGGTGCTTTTCAGTTGCGCATCGATCGGAGTTTGGAGGAATTGCAAACTCGCTTCGAACAACGTTTCACTGAGCATCAGAATCAGTTTACTAGTTTCAATACTCAACTGCAACAAATACATGCAGTAATTGTGGGTAATAATCATGGTCACGGTGATACTGGTCATGTTAGTGGTGTGCATTCGTCCAATCATACAGAGACGATGGGTGTTCCACATAATCGTTTCGATCCAAACGATCCACGAGTGTTAATGAAGTCAATTCGTATGGAGCTTCCAGTTTTTAATGGTACAGATCCAAATAGTTGGATTTTTCGTACGGAGCTGTATTTTGGGTTACAACAGGTACCTGAAAATCTTAAGGTTCGATTGGCGGGAATGAAAATGGAGGGTTTGGCGGGACCCTGGTTCCAATGGTTGTTCAATGGAGGTTCTATTCAGTCTTGGGAGGAATTGAAATTGGCTGTGAAACACCGATTTGGAGGGACAGCATATCAGGATCTGAGGGGAGTACTCTCCAAGTTGACACAGGATGGTCCACTCAGCGATTATATCAGGAACTTTGAAGCCTTAATTAATCAGGTCACTGATTTTTCTGATGAGGTACTAATGTGTTTTTTTATTTCTGGTTTAATCCCTGATTTACGAAGGGCCATTCAACTCCACACTCCTACCTCACTCCATCAGGCCATGCAATTGGCTATCACATATGATGCACATTTTGTGGAGTTACGTTCTTCCTTCACATCATCCAATACCAAAAGAATTTTCGCTAAGAATTCTTATACGGTGGAACAATCCCAACCTCAACCTCTCACTACAATTGTTCAGCCTCCAAAACCAGTTGTTCCTTCTTTACCTTCTACTGTACCTTACCGGAAATTGTCTCATGAAGAGCTGCAGAAGAAGAGAGACATGGGAATTTGCTATACCTGTGATGAAAAGTGGAATTCTCGACACCGATGTAAGGGCAAATTGTTTTTGATGATTGGTGAATCTGAGGAGAAATCCTTGGATGGTGATGAACAGATTGTCTGGCAACCACCATTGTCTATTGAGGAGCCTCCATTAGTTCATGCGGCTGCTTTACATTCATTAGAAGGTGATAGCAATCCAAGAGCCATACAGTTCAAGGTGGAATTTAAGGGAAGGTCAGTGTCTATTCTTGTAGATTCCGGTAGTTCTCACAATTTTATTCAAAAAAATCTGGTGGATGTGGTTGGACTGTCCACTGTCAAGGTTCCCAAAATGAGAGTATTTCTGGGGAATGGAGAATTTCTGATTTGTGATAGGAAATGTTTGGGAGTACCATTGAACATTCAAGGATTCATTTTCTCAGTGGATTTATGGGTGATTGAATTAAACAGTTTGGGCATTATTCTTGGGATCACTTGGTTAAGTGAATTGGGAAGAGTATTACATGATTACGTTGATATGTCCATGGAATTCATGACCCAGACTGGCAGGGTCGTTTTACAAGGTGAAAAGTTTGACAAAGCAGTGGTCGATAATGATCATAGCTGTTTCCATTTGGATGGCAACCTGGTTTAGGATGAGGTACCCGAATTGTTGGAAATGAAATCCAAGGTTCCAGTAGCTATATGGGATCTGCTGTTACAGTTCAAGACAGTATTCCAGCTACCAACAGGGCTACCACCTCCTAGAAAGTATGATCATGCTATTCATTTAACTGAAGGAGCCAAACCAGTGAATGTCAAACCATATAGATATGCTCATCACCAAAAGGAGGAGATTGAAAAACAGGTTATTGATTTGTTGGCTTTGGGGTTTATTAAGGAAAGTAGGAGTCCATTTTCCTCACCTGTGTTATTGGTGAAGAAACATGATAATACTTGGAGGATGTGTATAGATTATAGGGCTCTAAATAGCATCACAATCAGAGACCGTTTTCCAATTCCCACCATTGATGAGTTATTAGATGAACTTAAGGGAGCAAGAATTTTTTCCAAGCTTGACTTGAGGAGTGGATACCATCAAATTCTTTTGGCACCTGAAGATTCTGCCAAAACTGCTTTCCGGACTCATGAGGGGCACTATGAGTTTTTAGTTATGCCATTTGGTTTGACTAATGCCCCTTCCACTTTCCAAGCTGCCATGAACAACATGTTCAAACCTTTCCTTCGAAAATTCATTATAGTTTTTTTGATGATATCCTAATATATAGTGAATCCATGGGGGATCATTATCAGCATCTTACTGTTGCTTTGAGCTGTTTGCAGGATAACCAATTTAAGCTCAAACTTAGTAAGTGTAGCTTTGCCTTGCTTGAAATTGATTACCTTGGTCATTTGGTTTCTGGAGAAGGAGTCAAGGTGGACCCAAAGAAAATTTCTGCTATGTTAAATTGGCCACAACCGAAAGGTGTTAAACAATTAAGGGGATTTATTGGGCTCACTGGATATTATAGAAGATTTGTGAGGCAGTATGCTGCTATAGCTGCTCCTTTGACTGATTTGCTGAAGGATAATTCTTTTGTATGGAGTGAAGCAGCTGAGCAAGCCTTCGTGCAGTTGAAAAAGGCTATGTCGTCCACACCAGTCCTAGTTTTGCCTGATTTTTCTAAACCTTTCATTGTGGAAACTGATGCTTCTTCTATTGGTATAGGTGCAGTGCTTCAACAAAACAGCCATCCGATTGCTTATTTCAGCAAGAAATTGGGCCCTAGAATGAGAGTTGCATCCACTTATGTGCGAGAATTGTTTGCAGTCACAGAGGCAGTCAAGAAGTGGAGACACTACTTGTTGGGGTCTAAATTCATTATTCGCACGGATCATAGAAGTTTAAAGGAGTTGTTATCTCAAACTATCCAAACTGTAGAGCAGCAAAAGTATGCCTGTAAACTAATGGGGTATGATTTCTCAATTGAGTATAAACCAGGTTCAGCAAATATAGTGGCTGATTCTTTATCCAGGTGTTATGAGGAGGAGCAAACTGGTATACTCTTATCCTTAATTTCTGAATCTAAGTTCCATTTGCTGGAAGAGATTAAGGCTGAGAATCAATTGGATCCTGAGTTGCTTGATATTCATTCCAAATTGCATGGTAATGAATTGACTGGTACTGAGGTAGTTGACAGAGATGGCATTCTGTATCATAGGAATCGATTCCTATTGGGAACTACTTCTGGTTTAAGAAGGAAGGTCATTCAGGAGGCACATTCTACTCCATTGGGTGGGCATGCAGGGATTACGCGAACCCTGTTGAGGTTGTCTGCTTCTTTCTATTGGTCTGGAATGAGGAAAGATGTCACTGAGTATGTGAAGCAATGTGCTACTTGTCAAGTGATTAAAACAGCTACTGCTCCACCTAATGGGCTTTTACAACCTTTGCCTATACCTGAGGGGGTCTTTGAAGATCTATGTATGGATTTCATAACCGGATTACCATTATCTAAAGGATTTACTGTCATCCTAGTGGTTGTTGATCGATTGACAAAATATGCTCATTTTGGAGCATTGGCCCACCCTTATACAGCAGCAAAAGTGGCTGTTTTGTTTTGTGATATGGTTGTCAAGTTGCATGGTTTCCCTAAGACCA